GTTTACATGCAGAAGATAAAGTGTCGGGACAAATTTTTTTTTTTCATTTTATAGTACATAAAATAAGCTTTAATTTGATATATGTTTAAAGGACGCAGTATTTCCGGAACATTTTCAAAAATTAAGTTGAAAAAGTTAGTTTTTGTAAAAAAGTTGCAATTTTAAATCCCCCCCCATGAGCAGGTTAAGTGTTAAATTTTCAAAAAAATTATATCAAATGAAAGGAAAATATCTAAGGTTTTAGTTTAAAAAAAAATTATGTTGATTTGTTGATTTTTGAAAAAGTTATGGAAGTTTTAAGAAAAAAAAGTGAAAAAAATGACAAAATTTGTCGATTTTTAAATTTGTAATTTTTTTGGATATTTCCCCCATTTGCGGGGAACGAGGGAAAATTTTTAAATTTTTAAGGGTAATGTCTTCAACTAGATACAATTTGTGATCTTTTGACGTATTGTTAAAAGAAATCGGTCCAGTGAGAGCTGAGAAAAAGTAGTGACAGACACAAAAAAAAAAAAAAAAAAAAAAATAAAAAAAAAAATAAACACATCATGGTAAAATTAATACCTTCTCAGCTTCGCATCGAAGCTAAAATGTAAAAACTGTTTTGAAATAGTTATCAACCTTTTTGTAAACTATTAATTTAACATTAACGGCATTTCATCTAAATATTTTTAGCTTTTATGCAAAGCTGAGAAAGTATTAATTTTACTATGATATTTTTTTCTTTGTGTAGGCCACTTATGTTGCACTTTTTTCCAGCTTTCACTGGATAGATTTTTTCAATGGTATGTTAAAAGATCACAAATCTATCTAGTTGGAAGTCAATGCGCTTGAAAATTGAAATATTTACTTGTTCTTTGTAAACAGGGAAAAACCGCATAATAATTTTGATTTTAAAATTGGTATGTTTATATTTTAAATAAAGTACAATTTCAAATATTACATATTTTTAGCACAAAAACTTCCAAGGTATAAAAATGGGAGTAAACATTTTTTACATTCGATTCGAAGCTAAGAATGTACTAAATTTACAAGGATAACTTTATTTGTTTATTAGATACAAACATTTAAAGTTTCAAATTTTTGAGTTAATATACATGTATAATACGCAAGGAATTACAAATACAGGTAGCTAATATATTTTTTATGTCATTTTTATCACAGTCAAGGATTGTTTATTATTAATTATGACTATCAATAGATATCCTTTCTGTATTGTCAGTTAATGTATTTATAAACTCACAACAATGTGCCTTACTACCATTGATAATAACAATGCTGTGTACCTTGTAATATGGATGTCATAAAAAACCAATTAACTACCTGTATTTGTAACCCCTTGTGTATTATACATGTATATTAACACAAAAATTTGAAACTTTAAATGCTTGTATCTAATAAACAAATGTTATACTAAAAAATGAAATGCCATTTACTATTAAATTAAAATCTCAAACATTTTATTGAATTCAAAATATGTGTTCCCATTTAAAAAAAACCAAGTTGACACCCTTACCAGGCTTAAGGGATGAACTTAAAAAGTATTACGTAGTTAATAATTCAAGAATAAAGTGTAACTAAAAATATTAAAATATATATATTTAAATTATTATTGTTCTGTAAGTAATTGAGTGGATTATGATAAAAAAATCACTCTGTATAATATTCATAATTATAATTCATAATATTCATAATATTCTGGTCCTAGTATCACATATGGTTTTGTCGGCTGATGTGTTGTTGGAACTTCATTTTAACTTAAATTTGAAATCAGCACAATAATTGATTTAGAAAAAAAAATTTTTAACTGATTAAAACTTCTTGTAAGTCTACATTTAGACTTAATTAATTAAAATTTTTTTGTGAAGTTTTGTATCACGCACTTCAATTTTTAAGACGTTTTACATAAAATTAATGATAAATAAAATTACCTCATAATTTTTTATAGTTTCTCTATAAAATTTACAATAATAAATTATTTTGCATTCAAATTATTGATATCAATTTCATAATAAGAATTATTACAATGATTAAATCCATAAATTACTCAATATTTATCATACATTATACTTGTTAAACAAAGAACTACTTATCAGGATATAATTAAGGTGTTACGAGTTGATGTTGGTTTTAGAATAATCCACCAATTTCTTTAAATTATACAGTATGTTCAGATACGCATTAAAGCGCTTTTATGATAGTGATTTTTATCAATATCAGATAAATGTGTTTATGCTTATCATGGTTAAAAATATTTATTTATATTTAACTATATTAAATAATTTTTATCATAACAAATAATTTATATTTTATTTCTGTTAAATTAAATTTTTTTACTAAACGGATATACTGTTTAATACTTACAGCAGGTAAATTTGGCATAAGTGGTGTTCTTTCCAAGCTCAATACTATATCTAACAGTATTAATATTTTATAAACCATTATTTTCGTTAGTAATACTTTCATATTAAATTTGTGAAATAAACGTTAATAATTATTAGATATTTTTTTTTATTAATTTACACTTCTCAAGTAGATGAACTAACTATATCATGTATATTGCTGGTTAATAATACATATGTATATCTCTACAACTAGTTATTTAATGATCATATAATTCACTTAAAAATGATGTAGTTCCAAAACTATCAATTTTAAATGAAGTAAAAACAGGATGCCTCACTCATTTTATTTTATTTTGTTTAGTAGTATATATTTGATGATGAGTGATAGTTTATTATAATATAATAAAATGAACAATATTTATGTTGGTTTTTTAATTTCGTTTGTCATAAAATATTGTTATTATTGTGATCACATCGTAAGACTAAATTGCATTATAATAATGTATAATATAATATATATATTTATATATGTGCAATTGAATTTAATTTATAATTATTTTTTAATAAATTGGATTTTTTTTTTTGATAAAAAGAATCAAATGAAATTCGTGCATAAAATTGCAAAATTATTGATGCAGCCATTTCATTTCTAATTCATAAATTAATAAAAAAAAATAAACAAGTTACTATTTTAAATATTCTATATTCAATAAAATATAATCACTAAAATATAATGTAATTTATAAATTCAATTTTTAAATAACTAAGCATAGTAAAATTTCACTTTATTTTTTTCGTATATTAAAATGAATACGGTAAAAATTGTAAGCAGGAAGTAAATATTAAATTTAAATAGAAAATAAAAATAAAAACGAAAACTTTAGGATTGATATAAATTTTTTAAGATGATCATCGAAAGATATTGTTTTTCCAATAAATAAGACACTTAGCGATGACAATTGAAGCACTTTCGTGTAAATAAACAAATATATTCTATGATTTTAATCATTTTTTTCTACTTACATAATACTTACCTAAAGATTAATTTACTTTCTTAATTATGTCTAAGCCAACTAATGCATTTAAAATTAAAAATTTTTTTTTTTTTTATTGTATTAATTACTTTTATTATTGGACATTAACTATTTAATTATTTTTCTAATTAATTTTTTCACTTAACTAGTTTATTTAACTGTTTAAATTACTTTTATCGGTTAATTAGATAATATAAATCCAGCTAATTTTAGAATTTTATACATTTTTTTTTGTTTTTATACATTTTGTACATGTTTTAAATAAAAAAATCAATATAAATACAATTAATTATCAAAGGTATAAAGTTAACTTAAATTTTCCCCTGCCCTAAGTAAAATAATTTTAAAACAATAAATATAATTTTCTGATTTTTTGGAGAATAGATTTTTAAACTTGGGACTATACTTTTGTAATTGCACAAATTGAAAATAAAATTTCAGCACATCCTAGTATGGTTCTATTATGAACAGATTATTCGTCATTCGCTAACATTATCAATTAACAACTATATTAGTGCCCAATCAGTACAAACGTCTCTACAGTCTAACTATGAGTATGCGGTGCGTGGGCGTAAACATACCGATTTTACTATTCTTGAATTAATTAAAAACATAAAGATGACAGCCGACATTTCACCTTGCTTGCAGCAACTTATCTTTATTGATCTGATAATATAACTCGTACAGTATTATTGTAGTTACTAAAATAAATACTATTATTGTTTTAATAATTAATATATCGAGTTGTGTACACTCGCCACCGTTGCCCACTTAACATGGATACCATTAACGGATCTCTAAAGATCCAATCAGGTTATATATTAAATAATATTAAATAATATTAAATATAAATAAATGCTTGATATTTGTTCTAAGTTGAGAGTCTATATTTATTTGGTCACGAAACCTTTAACTGCTCTTTTAGTGAGGTAAAAAGGGCCAACGTTGCCCCGATTAGGTACAGCTTACTAAAATGTTAGGACCTGTGGAGACGCCAGGTACTGAACGTACTTTCCCGCTAGAATCCTAACAATAAGTTGATATTTTTTTGGTTTTTAATATTATAAATTTTATTGCATCAAATTAATAATTTAAATTACTTATTTTACTATAATATAAAGTGGTTTAATATGATATAATGAAAAACAACAAATAGTTTTAGTTAAAATATTTCTAAGAGTTCACAATATTAATGATTCAAAAAAAAAGTTAGTAACTTTATTAGTTATTAATGCATGAACAAGTAACAAAATAAATAAATAAAACTGATAATGAAATTTAAAATGTTTTTATTCCCAAAGACGTAATAAATCGAATATGATGTAAAAACAGCCAACTTGATCATTCTTTTCATTTGAGAAATATATTTTATATTTATAAATGCCGTAGAAGAATTCTTTCGGAATATTGGCTTGGTCCAAAAATGATAAGTCAAAACCACTGCTTTTATAAAAACCCTGAAATATTTTGAAATTCATTTTTGCTAAATCTAATTTCATTTTATCATTTAAATGTATAATAAAATTTTATAGCATCGAACAAACCGATTGAATTGGACAATCTGTAAAATGGTGCTTTTCAATATATTCGTTCCACACTTTTCCCATAAGAAATTTTAGTGATGAACATGCTTCTTTATTTTGGTATATATATGCATTATCTTTCCAGCCTCCAATTTTCGACCATACAGCTAAGTTCATGCCAATCTTTAAAAACAGTAATAATTAATATGATTATTAATAATATGTAATAATTTAAGATACAATTAAATTGTCATCAAATGGAATCTTCAATGTGATGTTTCCCATTAATAGGACTTTTGACGTAGAAACCTTTGACAAATAGTATTTGAATTTTAGTGGATAATCATAGGTTTCATTACAAATTGAAACAGCTTTGAATTTTAATTTGTACTTCCCCTAAAAATTTAGTTTGTTAATATATAGATAAACAGATTTAAAAATATTTAATGTTAATTTCTGTGCATTTATTATAGGAAAAAAAAAATGTAAAAACCGGTTATGAAATCTTTTTTACATAAAACTTTTATGTAAATTATTAATTTAACCATAACAGCATTTCATATAAAAAAACTTTTGTGTAATATATAAATGTATAGTCGTCAAAAATTAAAAATTTACTATTAAATTTATACACATGAATAAAAAAAAGCTAAATAATAATACTATATTATCGTATTTATTTGTATCATGGTTAAAAATATTTATTTATATTTAACTATATTAAATCATTTTTATCATAACAAATAATTTAGATTTTAATTCTGTCAAATTAAAATTCTACATAAATGAATACAGATTTTAGGACTTACAACAGATAAATTTGGCATAAGTGGTGTTCTTTTCAAGCTCAATACTATATCTAACAGTATTAATATTTTAAAAACCATTATTTTCGTTAGTAATACTTTCATATTAAATTTGTGAAATAAACGTTAATAATTATTAGATATTTTTTTTTATTAATTTACACTTCTCAAGTAGATGAACTAACTATATCATGTATATTGCTGGTTAATAATACATATGTAAATCTCTACAACTAGTTATTTAATGATCATATAATTCACTTAAAAATGATGTAGTTCCAAAAGTCTCAACTATAACTAAAGTAAAAACATGATGCAATATATTTTTACATTTTCTTTTATATGCAGTTTTAGTTTTAATTATTCAATAATGAATGTTATTTTATTATTTGTTGCAAGTCCAATAATTTTATTCTAGTAATATTTTAGTATGTTATTGTGCTCACGTTATAATACTTAAAAAATTATACAAATTATTGTATATTATATGATTTTACATAATTGTAATATAATTTTATACGTTATCAGTTTGAAATGAAAACTAACATTATGTTGTCGTTATGGAAAAATTGAACAATAATGATAATTGGCAGATAAGTGGTTTGTTTTCATACCGGAAAATATTAGATTTATGGTCAAAGGGAACTTGGATGGACCCAAGTTTAAAAATAAGCAAATTACTTGTTCTAACGTTATTACTACTATACATATTTTAATAAGTATATACAGTCGAATAGGAACGTGGAAACTTGATAGTGTAAAATAGAGGAATATATTTCACCGGATATCAATTTTTAAAGAATATGAATTACTGCTTCCTGTCTTCGATTAGCTAAAGAGGATAATTGTATAGTATTTTAAATTAGAATAATTTTTGAGACGGATGAGAAATTTAAAGGATAAATGTAGAAAAAAACATCTACGTTATACTCTTTTAAGAATTATATAGTCCATATCGGTAAAAGGGTTTCATAAAACAGATCAAGAACAGATTCATAAATCAGCCTAATTAAAGAGCAATAAAGACTCTTGAAAGGTTTCATAAGACGAAACTCATTGGTATTTTTTAAAAATAAATTATAAGGTTTTTAAGAGCCTTACAGCATAGTTTCTCAATACGAGAGTGAACATTTAAAGAAAGAGAGAGACGGATAAATTAAAGTGATTATGGATAAGGTAAGTTGTTGGAATAGGATTATTAGAACGAAAATGTAATTTTTTGATATTTTAGAATAATGATCGTCAAGCTAATAGATTTCTTTTTCTGTTAAAAATTATTCTTTTATATAATATATATTTTTTTATTATTATGTCTTATGATCTATAATTGGCAAAATGAAAGATTTTTAGTCAGTGTATATTTATACTTTGTCATGTATACTTATTACATATATATATATATATATATTATTCCGACAGTGCCCAAGTACAATTCGGCCAGCCAGATTACAAAAATTATTAGCCACACCCGGAGTAAAGGACTTGTTCCGGTGCGGAAGACACGTCATGTATAATGTCTAAAAGTTTGACACGGCACCGCCTTTTGCTCTAGGCTGGCGCTCACCCGTGTCTCTCTCGATATCAGCCGTCCAGCTATTAATATGACAATCGGTTGTCATCGGTCGTCTCCCCGCCCTTGACACTGAGATAAGGCCGCCGCCGAATATGGATTACCGATATTGCGTCCTGTTCCGTTTTCGACGTTCACCTTAACTGGTTGCTCTACGCTGTGTTGTTTTCCACGTTATTCTTCTTTTTTTTCGTCATCTGTGTCGCGAATGTTATTTTGTTTTCGCCTGCGCCTTATACCGCTACTATTGGCATATCAATTGTGCTGTGAGTTATAAGTGTCGATATATATATATTCGTTGGTACATTTCGTACACGCTCAACGCAATCACCTGTGCGTTTTTGTATTGGATTACGCAGACACCTGTGCGCCTTCTGTTTTGGAATACGCGTTAAGTGGCTCCCCGAGAAGGAATCTAAACCGGACGAGGAAAGTTAAGGTAAGAGGCTTTGAGCCGATTCAGTTTTATTTCTAATTATATTAGATTTTAGTTTTAACGTGAAACGGTGAAGTCTCCCTTATAGATTTATTAGTTCATATAGTTATTTGAACGGATTTCACTGGTGACAGCAGTGAATTTTTACCTGGGTTATTCACACTTACGTGTTAGCGGGATTAGATTTAGCCGGGCTCTGGGAAAATTTTCTTTTATAAAAATAAAGTCAGAGCAGTTTATCTAATATAATCCGCCGTAGGTATTGTCGTTTTAGAGTGTTGGTTACAGTTTATTATAAAGACCTTATTGATAGCGACAAAAAGTGAATTTCCGGCCGATAGTTAGTCTTTTGGTAGATAAAAATCGTATATTTTCGTCCGACCTTGTCAAAGCGGCCGATTCCAGGTAAACCTTATTATTATTGTTCACTCGCTGCCATATCATATACGGCGGCCCCGGACCATTTTATCGCGGTCATTATCACAACAATAGCAATAATAATAACACTTGTTTTTCTACAGTAATAGTAAATTTTGACCGTACACGGAGATGTTGTTTATCTCCGCTATTATAGTAACATACATTTGATTATTAGTATTGTAAATAAACAAAATATTCACGGTCAATATGTCGGGGAAATTATTAGCACAAATGAATTGCGCTGAATTACGTCGCGAATGCGCTTTTAGACAGCTACCATGCTACGCGACGAAACCCAATATGCTAGTTATGCTGGAGGAAAACATACGTAGCGAAGGGAGGGACCCAGCTACAGAAATTTTACCGCCCCGTACGCCGCTCGATAGCGAAAATCCGGTCCGCGAACCCGAAGTGGGGGTTTTAGACAACTCCACGGACCGTACCCGCGAACTCGACGCAAACTATCAGCGGCCCGGCGTAGCACCGTTACCGGAGGAACATCCGGTGAACCTCGCGCTACACACATCAGACGACGAGTCTAATGTCGACCAACCGGGGGATATTACGCGCGCAAGCGGTCAACTAGGCGTGCCATACGTTGAAGACGTATACGTTGCCCGCTCGATAGCGCACGCGGCAGAACAAGTCGGGGCGATCCGACAGAATATTCGCGATATTTCGAATAACGCGCGGATCGAGGCACGGATGACTGAACTAGAACGCTCGCTCTCGCGGATGTCAATGGAACAGCGACAGATTTCAAATATGCTGGAGCGACTCAGTCAAAATATGCTGCCGTCCCCACACGTTGATGCACAACCGACTATTCGTCAAGTTAACGTCGAACGAAACGATAGTCGACGATCGGACGCGCATCGCGTTACATTCGGTCCATCGGGAGCGACGGACCCGACACGACACGACGCAACTTTACACGAGCGCCTCGCGGACATCGAAGCGCAGGAAGCCCGCAACATGAGACGATCGTACGGACAAGCGTCGCGCGCGTCGTTCCACGAATGTGTAGCATGNCGTCGCTACCACGAATGTGTAGCACGGGTTGGCAAGACGAACATATTCCGCGCACTCATACATATGAGAACGAGCCGACAGATTTTTCGTTTACGCGCCAACCACGGGGGGGCAATCCAACACAACCGACGGTCGTCGGTCTTTTAATGATTTGTCGCCTACCCGCAGCTCGCGGTCTGTGCTGGTACCTTACCACGACCTACGCACCGTACGCGCCTGTTTACCTGAATATTACGGGAGAAACGAAGAGGACCCACGGGAGTTTCTAGACAGAGCGGAGGATCTACTCTGTCAGGGCGGTATACACCCAACTGCGTGGGTGAACATCGTCGTCCCGTTTTTGAACGACAGGGCAGGTGATTGGTGGCGAGCTATAAAATTAAACAATATGCCATGGGCGGAATTTAGGTCCGAATTACTCGAGGAGTTCGACAATATCGACATCCGGACGGCGCTCGAGACGGACTTAAAAACGACGCGACAGGGCCCCCGACAAACGTTAACTGAATTTATCATTCATAAACAACGATTGGCCGCGCGAGTACGTTGTGGTTTACCAGAACAACAACTTGTGCGACAGTTAACGGGGCTTTTACGGGACGATTACCGCGCTATGATACGGTTAATGCACCCAGCGTCTTTCGCCGATCTACGTGAAATAGCGCACGACGTAGACAAAACCGCGGCTCCTCGGTACGCTCCGCCAGCGTCCCGACAGCCAGCCGATCTGCATCCGCGGCATACCGCGCAACCAGCGGCCCGACAGCGAGCGGGTTATGCACACGCGGACGCACCGCCTACCCCGTGCCGATATTGCGGCGAGCGACACTGGCACCGCCAGTGCCCAAACCGGCCGTCGGTATCGGGAAACGGCAACCGGCTAGGAGGGAATTAGTCCGCCCCTCCAGCCTACAACAGTTTCAAACAGGGCGCAGCGTTTTAGACGACGTTTCGTTTAAAACGCGCCCTGCCACTTCGCAAGTTTTATCCGGTAACATATCACGCATCACGACCGTCGCGCAGAACACCGAATCTAACGGCCCTTACGAGTTACATACCGCCAACGATCTTGGCACTTTTTCGGCACCGCACCCCTCTTATCGGAATGGAGGGGACGCCGCGGTAAATTCGGATGTAATCAGGGTATCGGAGTTCGAACACGCTGCCGACACGAACGAACAAAGCGCGAGTCAGGTGTTCGAAATTTTTTCGGGCACAGTGGGGGAGGGGGTGTCAGTCGATCCGGCTAGTCCACTAATGGCAGTTAACACTGTCGGTGGGCAAACCGACGTCGCGGTTAAGAACCAGCTGCCCCCCGTTCGAACCGTAAACCACCTGAGTAATGGCCAACGAAAATGCCCGCGTAGAATTACTACTCCAGCAGTCGAGTTAGAATTCGAAACTGGCTTCGTCACAGCCCTACTCGACTCACAGGCGCATAAATCGTATGTAAAACCGGTAATTGCTTATAAATACGGAACTGTTTATAAAGGACACACTGACGCGGTTAGACTAGCGGACGGACATACCGCCACGACGAACGGTACCGCCACGTTTACCGCCAAAATCGCGGATTTAGAAGTGCGTTTTTCAGCGGTTATTTTAGACGACCTATATTGCGACGTGTTACTTGGCCATGATTTTCTGATTGATCAGAAAGTCGCCTGGGACTACTCAGCAGGAACAATACACTTAGGCAATAGGAAACGTACAACCGCTTGTTGGAAATCGGGCGCACGACACACGATCCGCAAACCAGATCTGACGCAGTTAGATATAACCGGCGACCCACGAACGCGCGCGTTATTAACACAG